ACTGTATAAAATTTTAATTTAAATTATAAATTGAAATTATTTTTCAAATTGCTAATTTTTAAATTGAAAATTAAAGAAAATTACACGTTTATTAATTAATTGTGTTTTAAAATATTTTTTTTTAAGAAGAACAATTTAAACTGAAAAACAATATTTTATAAATTGAATTATAAATTATTATTTTTAAGTAGTAATCAACCTGTTTTAGAAAAAAATTGAGAAAAAAACCAAGCGCCCCAACCTGGAATTTGAAATCCGGACCTCTCTGTTAGATGTCGAACAGCTTAACTGTTAAACCACGAATACGCGCTGGATAAAAAGTTTTTGTTCGTTTAAAAGTAAACTACCTGAGACTTTATTGGAACATATTTTGCCCTAGAATTAGATCTGGCACCTAATATGAACCATAGCGAAAGTTTTTAACCATACTCTTTAATTTTAGCTTAACTTCTTCTAATAGGAACTTTCGAGAATCTTACTTCCCTTGTTTGCACAATATTAATAAATTTGCACTTCCAAAAGTCATGTGATTCGAAAGTCATAATATATATTGTTTTTTCTATATTTTAATGCTCAGATAAATGTCAATATTTCCAGACAATTTGCTTCAAATGTGAACACAGTACTACAGAAACACAAGCAAAGCATCGACAGGCTTATAAAGACAAAATTATATGAAATGAGCCAGGTTTTCCCGAAAATTTATAAAATGGTATGACATTATCTGATAAACAAATTGTACTAGAAGATCTGTAACATCCATAGCTGTCCCAATATTACCAATTTTGCCATTTTTTAATCTGGTTACTCGTGCATTCTGATCTTTGATAAAAAAATAAAAAAATAGTGCTTGGAGTCCCTCCGCGCGGAAGAAGTTAAACTTCGCAACCTGCGACGTTAATAGTAGAAGAATCAGCAGTCGTAGAAGGATCACTAGTTCTATTCAACGACTCTTTTTCCTGTTCCGCTCGCTTCCGTGCTCTATAATCACGGTAATATTGTGCATTTTTCTCTCGTGGACCTCTTGAACCAGTGGAAGTGCTTGTGGTTGCCTCATCGTCTCGCCCTGGAAAATGTATTTGTATTAATAATGTATGTGAATGCGTCATAATGTAATTTCAGAAGAGAAAACCTAACAATCAATAGATATTCACAAGAGACGTATCTTGACATAACCTTAAATCCGTCGCATTGTCCGTGGGATTGTTTTCACTCATTTTTTACAATTGTTATCCACTAAATTTGAAAATAAAAAAATACGACCCTAATAATTTATATGTGTATCAATACAAACTAAAAAAATATTTATAGAAAAAATATACTTTTATTATATTTATGCTAGTGAGAACCAAAACAATGTGGAAATGAATGAGGGAAAACTGGATCCTACCACGTGATTTCCCGGCCAATAAAAATGTAGCGTTAAACGTTTAACGCAACCTTGTCGGAAGTCGCATAAGAAGTATAACTTCAAAAAATCAGAAGCAGAACTGAATTTCAGTCATTTCGCAAATCGTCAAAGTTGGCCCAATCCCTAGTAATGATGATACTATAAGCTGAATGAAGATAATGCGTTTGAAGTGTTATGAGATATTGACAACTAAAAACATTTCTAGGTACCTTGTTCCTTCGATTTGAGTTCATCTTACTTTATTTTCGATTTCCAAGATCGCTGCGCTTCGCTGTCTACAAAATGCTGATCCGTTTTCTTGGTTTTCCCTTCCCTTTAATGCGAATGCTGGTCAGTTTTTACCATACATGGCAGTACTTTTACTTTCGTTACTTGTACCGCCGGTAAAAGTAAAAAGTACGTACTTTTACTTGTACTTCGTTACTTTTTAAATTTAGTACTTTTACTTGTACTTTCGTTACTTTTTTAGGGAAAAAGTAAAAGTATTTGCAACGGAAATATCGAATCAAATCGTTACTTTTTTCTAAAACTCGGTAAGCTTTCTTAAAAAAAAAAAAAAAAAGCTGTGAATGCAATAGATATGCATTCACAGCTAACTTCGTTTTTAAATACCTTCTGTTTCAACTTATACTGCACATTCAATTATTTTTTACTAGCTCAAAGATCACAAAGCTATCTGAAACCCCGTGTTTGCTTTGTTTATGTTTGTGTTTTTAAAACGCGTTTCTAAAGAGTAAAACAATTTTAAATCAATGGTAATTTAATTAAACAAAAATAATAAACTAAAAATTAAAGTCAATAGATAAAATTTCTTTTTCGTGCAAATCNTGCAATTATATATATTTACATTCTATTTATTTATGTAGAATGTAAAGACTAGTATTAAAACGATGGAACAATATTTTTATTGAGTATGTAACTTGGCATCACATTATTTTTTACAATGTATAATTTTGACTTGAAGGCTGTTGCTGTATTTTATTATTTGGATTGTGAAGTCTAGCATTAAAACAATGAAACAATATTTTTATTGAGTAAAACTTGATATCACTATATTTTTAGAACTCACAATCCCAACATTAGGGCTGTTCGATTCACTGACTGTGATATATATATATATATATTTAATTTTTGTAATTTTAAAAAAACTGCACAAAATTTCGATTTAAATTATAAATTGAAGTTATTTTTTAAATTGCTAATTTTAAATTAAAAATTAAAGAAAATTACACGTTTATTAATTTTTGTGCTTTAAAATAAATTTTTTTAAGAAGAACAATTTAAACTGAAAAACAATAATTCATAAATTGAATTATAAATTATTATTTTTCAGTAGTAATCAACCTGTTTTATAAAAAAATTTAGAAAAAAATCAAGCACCCCAACCTGGGACTTGAAATCCGGACCTCTCTGTTAGATGTCGAACACCTTAACTGTTAAATCCCGAATACGCGTTGGTTAAAAAGTTTTGTTTGTTTAAAAATAAACTACCTGAAACTTTATTGAAGTATATTTTACCCTAAAGTTAGATCTGGCCCCTAATATGTACCATAGTCAAATTTTTAACCATGCTCTTTAATTTTAGCTTAACTTTTTCTAATAGGAATTTTCGAGAATCTTACTTCCCCTTTTTGCACTTTAATAATAAATTTGCACTTCCTAAAGTCACGTGATTCGAAAGTCACATATATTGATTATTTTATAATTTAATGCTCAAATAAATGTCAATATTTCCAGACAATTTGTTTCAAATGTGAACACAGTACTACAGAAACACAAGCAAAGCATCAGCTGGCTTATAAAGACAAAAGTATATGAAACGGGCCAGGTTTTCACGAGAATTTATAAAATGGTAAGACATTATCTGATAAACAAGTTGAACAGGAAGATATGTAACATCCATAGCTGTCCCAATATTACCGATTTTACCATTTTTTAATTTGGTCACTCGTGCATTCTGATCTTTGATGAAAAAAATAGTGCGTGGAGTCCCTCCGCACGGAAGAAGTTAAACTTCGCAACCTGCGACGTTAATTGCAGAAGAATCAGTAGTCGTAGAAGGATCACTAGTTCTATTCAACAACTCTTCTTCCTGCTCCGCTCGCTTCCGTGCTCTGTAATCTCGGTAATATTGTGCATTTTTTCCTCGTGGACCTCTTTAAACAGTGGAAGTGCTTGTGGTTGCCTCATCGTCTCGCCCTGGAAAATGTATTTGTATTAATAATGTATGTGAATGCGTCATAATGTAATTTCAGAAGTGAAAACCTAACAATCAATTGATATTCACAAGAGAGGTACCTTGACTTAACCTTATAAATCCGTCGCATTGTCCGTGGGATTGTTTTCACTCATTTTTTACAATTGTTATCCACTAAATTTGAAAATAAAAAGTACTACCCTATTAAATTATATGTGTTTCAAAACAAACTAAAAAAATACTTATAGAAAAACAATACTTTTATGACATTCATTATTTTTAAGCTAGTAAGAACCAAAACAATATGGAAATGAAAGAAGGAAAACTGGATCCCATCACGTGATTTCCCGGCCAATAAAAATGTAGCGTTAAACGTTTAACGCAACCTTGTTGGAAGTCGCATAAGAAGTATAACTTGAAAAGAAATTAGAAGCAGAACTGAATTTCAGCCATTTCGCAAATCGTCAAAGTTTGCCCAATCCCTAGTAATGATAATACTATAAGCTGAATGAAGATATTGACTACTAAAAATATTTCCAGGTACCTTGTTCCTTCCATTTGAGTTCATCTTACTTTATTTTCTATTTCCAAGATCGCTGCTCTTCGCTGTCTACGAAATGATGATCCATTTTCTTGGTTTTCCTTTCCCTTTAATGCGAATGTTGGTCAGTTTTTACACAATTTCCACCACGAAAACATTCGAATTTATTCTGAATTTTAATTTCGGTATTTATGCTTAGTAATATAGATTATCAGATAATATAGGGGAAAAAATATTGCTTAACCAATTGCTGCAAGTTCTGGATCGCAACTATAATTTTATATTCTAAGAAATTGTTTCGAAATAAAATTCTAATCCCGTTTAGAAAAGAAATTAGATTTAATTGACATTATTTAACTAAAATGTTTATTAAGTTTTAAAAAAATAGACTTGGCAATTATGCGTCTTAGAACAAAAAATATTCGTGTTTTTTTATTTTTATTTATTTATTTTTAGCTTTCTATGTTTAAAACTATCGCATCTAAAATAATGTTCAGCGTACAAAATAATTAAAATATAGATTAAAAAAAAAACCTTTCCATGAAATTGAAAACATTATTACTAAATTCAAAGATAAAGTTCTAAATGCCATACATTTTTTGTTGTTTTTAATAATGTGTATGATTCTACGCTGCAATATCTATGATTCATACTTGCGCATAAAAGCCAAATAATGAGACTCAGGGAGCAAAGTTTTCATAAAATGGTCATCATTTTGAGCGATATACATCAACTAAAAGCAAAAACTCCTTTCGATATCACCTTTTTACGATAAAGTTTGTGGCTTTTCTTCTGTTTTTATATAGCGGAAAGAACAGATTCTATTACCCAAGTGCGGTAAATTCCGGACTTTCTTCAGATAAGGACATAACTAGCACCTTATATTAGAAAAAGTGGTTTTAATGTCACTAAAAGTACAGTCCCCAAAGTAATTTTAACCTTTGTTGGGAAAATAAATTACAGATAGCGCCAAATAAAAAAAGAAGAGTTTGAAAAGAAAAACATCGCCAACACTGTGTAGCGATCAAAGAGCATTTTAGTGTTTTTCCATGTCCAGTGATTTAACAGCCAATCAGATACAAACAAAGATAAAGTGCTCTTTTGCACTTATTTTACTCTACATCTCAAGGAAACCGAACAAAATACGGAAAAAAGGTATTTATTTAGTTATGTCTGACGCCTGACTTACTTTGTTTGCGGTCAACATTTTCTTTTATTTCAGTTAAACACACTAGATCGTGTTAGTTTCATATGGTAATTATTATACTATAGTATTAGTTTCTTATGGTAATTATTATACTATCGTATTAGTTTCTTATGGTAATTATTACACTATCGTATTAGTTTCTTATGGTAATTATTACACTATCGTATTAGTTTCTTATTGTAATTATTAAACTATCGTATTAGTTTTTTTTATGGTAATTATTACACTATCGTATTAGTTTCTTATGGTAATTACTCTAATTTTGTTTTTGAAACCAAAAACGGTTGAGTTGTTTGAATTCAATTTCTAAAATCTTATAACTTTTATGAAAATGAGGCTTCGGGTATCAAAACCTAAATGAAAATATCCTTAAATTAAAATATTAAAAATTAAATAAAGTATTTAAATAATTAAATAAAATTAAATAAATAAAAAAAATTAGTAATTAAAAATAATTAAAAAATATATAAAAATAAATTAAAAATTAGGTTTTATTTCTTTAATTGTTTTAGTTTTCTAAGGCTATTATTAAATATATATTATTTACTTACTTTTTAAAAATGAGTTAACAGTAACTTATTTATTTTCGCAAAATTGAGACATTGCTTATCAAAGTCTAAACATAAAATTCATAAGCACGAAAAATAAAGCCATGTCAAATTAAGTCATTTTAAATTTTTAAATCGGTTGAGTTTCCTTTAGAAAATATTACACTAATTGCTTTATTTATTTAAAAAAAATAACAGCGAACAGTTGAGTAATTGGAATTAAAATTTAAAAATCTTGTACCTTTAATGAAAATGATATTTTATATACTAAAAACTAAATATCAAAATTTTTAATCCAAACAGTAACTCGGTGCAGAATTTAGTTTTGCTTTTTTTCATTATTAGTTTTTAATTTATTAGACTCTCGCAGAAAATCTTTGGTATTAAATTTTAAGGCAATTTTATTCCAACATATTTTTTTTAGTATTAAAAAAATATTCTTGTCTTTTGAAATAGAATTTCTTTTTATGTAGAAAAGAAATCAATATAACGCTCAATTTCCCTTTCATTTTGTTGAAATTAAATTAATAGTGAAAATTTTAATGTTTCTTTTTCTTCATTTATTCATATATTTTCTGCTTTAAAATGATGTTTATTTGAAAAAAAAAGCAACATTTAATGCAACTGCATTGAATTTAAAACACTTTACTTTGTAAGTTTTTATTTCATTTTAAAATTAAAAATACAATAGTTTAAAAATTGATGACAAAAGGGTTTTATAAAAATTATTGAAATGGAAAGCAAGTAAAATTTAGTGCAAAAATTGTTTTTGCAGCAAATATTTATTAAGATCATGAGGTTTTGGGCACGATTATAGCACTTGTAGATTAAATTATTAAATGCCTTTGAAACTATAAAAATGTTAATTGCGATTTTCACATTTTATTAATGGTAATCCAATGTATTGAATATTTAAAAGAGTTTGAGATACTATGACTTGCCCTATAAAATAACACACTGATAAAAAAAGTAGATCAAAACTACCTGAATATGGTAAAATTTACCGTGTTCGTAGCCTTATGGGAACACCAATAATTTCAACAATTTTAAACAAAGCGCTTTGGCAAATGATTTTGGATAAATTAACAATAAAATATGGATTCATAATATGGTTGTTAATTTTATAATATGGTTTTATAATATGATAAGTTTTCTAAGAGATGTGGTACTGTTACACGCGTATGAGTATTAGGCACTTACAAAGTTGACGCATACCCTTAGAAATACGGCAATTAATAAAATACTGAATGCTTGGAGATGATATAATGTATTCCATTTTAACGTAATAAATTAGAATTATGGAAACGTCAGATGAATAGAATATCAGAAAACTCTGAAATAGTTATTTTTATATCGAAATATTATTGAAATAGCTTTCTGAATAGTTTAATCATAAAAGTCAACAGGAAAGGTCAGTTTCAGAAAGTCTTATCCCATGAGATTATATATTTGATATCGAATGAAACTTTATTTGCAACTCGTTTTTGCCTTAAATGTGTAAAGTACGTCAAATTAAGCATTAGATAGAGTAAATGAATAATAAATGTCCTTGGTAAGACAGTAACTTTATTAAAATTAGTTAGGGACAAAAATATTATTGTTTTTATAATTATTCATAAAATTGGAAAGATAAAAACACCTACTGCATTGAAAATCTGAAAAAGGAGTACTGGGAATTCGAAATAATGCAACCTGTCTTTTTGTTTCACGTTATGTTAGAGACTGACAAAAAATTTTCGGTATTTTATAAAATATGCATGACATACTCTTTCATAAATACGGTAAGAAATATGGGAATTTTTTTGAAAATAAAAAATATTCCCATTGTTTATGTGATTCAAGAACAATTAATAAAACATAAGGTGATTTGAAAACCTGTAAAAACTGGTATTTCCAGTTTTCCCATAAAAGTCACGATAGAAGGTCAGTTTCACAAAGTCCAATCTTACAGGAGGACATCATTGGTAAATAATAAATATTTATCCCAATTTTGTTTTCTGTAAACATGGAAATTACAGCAACTGAAAACAATATTTACTTGGAGATGAAAGACTAAAAACGGCGTTTTTTAAATTATTCAATAGATCGGGAATATGAAGAGGCCAATGTGCTGAAAATCATTAAATAAATTACATAAAAAATTAAAGATGTCTGAGAAATGAATCATTTTAGTTGCATGCATATAAATACTGGACGCTGGCACATTGATATACACTTATACTGTAATGTTGGATCAAATTACAGGTATAAAATACCGGCATTTTAGATGCATCATCTGTAAAATCCACTTTACAGTAAAATTTTATACCGTAATTTTCATTGCACTTTTTAGTTAATTAGAGTGATTTAGTGATTTTACGATTATTATTACTGTAAAAATAAAGGCATATCAGATTTTTGTTGTTCCATTACATGTCCAGAAGAAATGTATTTTGCGGTGAATAGTGCCTGCACTCTGAGTGCCGGAACTTTTTATCGTAATTTGATCCAGAATTTTTACAGTATTTATTAAATATGACAAACAATGAAAGACATTTATTTGAAAATAAAGAAAAAAATATCCCCATTGCTTTTATAATAATACAACAAATAAAAACTATAAAAGCACCAGATGCATTGAAAACCTTAAAAATCTGGAAGAGTTATTTCCAGTTGTCCCATAAAGGTCAAAATGTTAGACACTGGCACATTCACATACACTTATACTGTAATGCTGGATCAAACTACGGCATAAAGCACACGCAATTTAGGTGCATCATTTGTAAAATTCATTTTGCAGTAAAATATTATACCGTAATTTTTATAGCACTTTTTAGTTAATTACAGTGATGCATTGATTTTGCGATTAGTATTACTGTAAAAATTAAGGTATATCAGATTTTTTATTCCGTAACATGTCCGGAAAAAATGTATTTTTCTCTAAAAAGTTCCAGCACTCTAAGTGCCGTTTTTTTATCGTAGTTCGATCCAGAATTTTTTTAAAGTGTTTATAAATGGGACAAACAATGAAAGACATTTATTTGAAAAAAATATACCTCAATCGCTTTTATAATAATACAACAAATAAAAACTATAAAAGCACCAGATGCATTGAAAACCTAAAAAATCTGGAAGAGTTATTTCCAGTTGTCCCATAAAGGTCAAAATGTTAGACATTGGCACATTCACATACCCTTATACTGTAATGCTGGATCAAACTACGGTATAAAGTACCGTCACTTTAGGTGCATCAGCTGTAAAATCCACTTTACAATAAAATATTATACCGTAATTTTTATAGCACTTTTTAGTTACGTAGAGTGAGTTAGTGATTTTACAATTATTATTACTGTAAAAATCAAGGTATATCAGATTTTTTTATTTCGTAACAAGTCCGGAAAAAATGTATTTTACTGTAAGAAGTACCAGCGCTTTAAATGCCGGTTCTTTTTATCGTAGTTTGATCCAGAATTTTATTAAAGTATTTATAAATATGACAAACAATAAAAGACATTTATTTGAATATGAAAAAAAAAATATCTCTGCTTTTATAATAATACAACAAACAAGAACTATAAAAACACCAGATGCATTGAAAACCTTAAAAATCTGGAAGATATATTTCCAGTTGTCCCATAAAAGTCAAAATGAAAGGTCAGTTTCACAAAGTCTAATCTCACAGGATTACGTCTTTGGTAAAGAGAAAAAACTATATCTACAACCTGTCTAAGCCGTCAACGTGAAACGGAGTGGGACGACAGTTGTTCTTGATTCACTTAGTTTATGGAATCACTTGATTAAATATCCCAAAAGAGAATACTTTTATTTTTTTTCCCTAGTAGGTTACTTTCTAACTGTTTCTTCCATCTGTGCAAGTATCATATCAATCAACTAACAATGTTAAATCCAGGCTAGAAAAAAAGCGACATCTACGAGAGTCCGTGACTGTCTTTTGGAAAAGGGATAATAAATGGTTCTCTGGGAGTTAGTTGATAAATGGACTTAACCGTTGATGGAATAACCCAGGAAAAAAGTACTTTGTTGACTTTTATCGATGTTTTAAGTTATGAAACAAAAGAAACTTTTAAGAATACTGATTTGATATTTCTGCTAGTTAGAAATAGGAATAGTTAGCCCTTAATTTGTTGCATATCATTTTATGGACGATTCTACAAATACTTCATTAGCTTACGGAAACTATTTTATTGAGAAATGTTTACGCATAAATATATAATATATACTTAGAAAAAAATGTAGAATCGAAACTTAAATCGGTTTTTTAAGTTAGTAAACAAAAGAAACTTTTTCACCCACTGTAAAAAATTCCGGAATAAATTACGGTATTAAGGGCTGACACCGTAAGTGCAACATTCGTCAATTCTATTTTACAGTCAAATTCATTTTTAATGAAAAGTCCAATA